GAGATCATATAGGTATTTAATTAATATTATTTTAATTTCAGCCAAATTATGGAAGTTAGAGCCAGCCTAATGAATCCAATATGTTTTTATTGATTTTCATGCTTTACTTAATATCCATGTTATTGTTTTGATTTGCAAAAAGTTCTATATTTCTTATTTTTTTAAAAAAAGTAATCCATGCTGAACTTTATAGATTAGAATAAAATGAAATAATAAAGATATGCAGTGAAACTCTGGCATATAAAATCATATACATTATTTAAACTTATTTTTGGTTATCTTCTAATGGAACTGTATTTTTAAAAACTTCTGTTCCTCAAATGTATTATATCATTACTAGAGGCCCAGTGCACAAAATTCGTGCACGAGGGTGTGTGTCCCTCAGCCCAGCCTGCACCCTCTCCAATCTGACCCCTCAAGGGATGTCTGACTGCCTGTTTAGGCCTGATCCCAGTAGTACTGGGCCTAAATGGGCAGTCAGACATCCCTCTCACAATCCAGGACTGCTGGCTCCCAACTGCTCACCTGCCTGCCTTCCTGATTGCCCCTAACTGCTTCTGCCTGCCAGCCTGATCACCCCCTAACCACTCCCCTGCCACCCTGATTGATGCCTAACTGCTCCCCTGCTAGTCTGATTGTCCCTAACTGCCCTCTCCTGGAGGCCTGGTCCCCCCCTCTCCCCCCCAACTTCCCTTCCCTGCAGGCCTGGTTGCCTCTAACTTCCCTCTTCTGCCAGCTTGGCCCCTCCCAACAACCCTCCCCTGCTGGCCATCTTGAGGTGGGCATCTTGTGTCCACATGGGGGCAGCCATCTTGTGTGTTGGAGTGATATTCAATTTGTATATTACTCTTTTATTAGATAGAATAGGCAATAATTTCTCTGAACAATAAGAGTCAAATTATCACTGCACTCCCCCCCCCCCCACATGCACACACACCAGGGTCCCCTTATACACTTGCCTCCCAATCTTTCTATTATTTTTAACTTTTAGCCAGCAAATAAGATCAAATATAGAAAAGTGTTAAATAATTTGGCCTTGTTGGGGAATGCTTTAGTGACATTCCCAAATATCTGAAGTTTATTCTTTAAGGATCTCACACTTCATTTTAACCATAACAAAAATTTCTCACCCTTTACTTTTTATAGCTTTTGGGAGGAGAACCTTTATTTATTCATTTAATAAATATTTTTATTGATTTCAGAGAGGAAGGGAGAGGGAGTGAGAGATAGAAACATCAGTGATGAGAATCATTGATTGGCTGTGTCTGGCATGTCCCCCCACTAGGAATCAATACCGCAACCTAGGCCTGTGCCCTGACTGGGAATTGGACCATAACCTCCTAGTTCATAGATCGACCCTCAACCACTGAGCCATGCCAGCTGGGCCTAATAACATTTTTTATAACCCATGTGCTTTCACTTGTTCTCTCTCACCTCTCACTCTTCTATAATCCAACTGCACAGGAAGTGAGGCTATGAGGGTCAACTCTCCTAGCTCAGTGCTCTTTCCTTTTGCCATACTGTCTTAAAGCAACATGACTTACTAACCACAGGAAGTCATTTGAATATGTTCATCATTTATAGTGTTGATGAATAGTAAAATGACAGAAAAATCATGTGAATATGTTTTATTAACCTAAAATGTTTTAACTAACACTATCCCTGAAGGCACGCATTTTCATGTAATTTAAGTAACTTTCTCATAAAACCAGAGCAGAATAAGAAGAAATTAATGGGTAAAAAGAGTTACATAAAGAGATAACTCCTATTTAATAAGTAATGAGTTTAGGGGAGATTTGGGAAAGGTCTATCTATTTTGCTATTCATATCTCTTCTGTTATTATATTTGCTATTGGGTTAGACAAAACTCACTAAAGGGGCTCATTCATTGCTTCTCCCCCCCCCCCCCTCTTTTACCTTAAATTTCTAGGTTGTACATTGTCATTAAAGCTTGTAAATAAATTTGCTCCAGTGAGGACATGTTCTATGACTTTGTAAATGGCAGATAACTCACTGATATATACCCATTCTTTTCCAGTATTCTTTAAACTAAGAACCAGTCTATATAATAAAAGCCCAGCGACCGTGATGGCGGAATGACCAGAACAACCGGTCACCATGATGCACACTGACCACCTGGGGGGTAGATGCTCAACGCAGGTGCTGCCCCCTGGTGGTCAGTGTGCTCCCACAGTGGGAGTGCCATTCAGCTAGAAGCTGGGCTCACTGCTGGAGAGCACGGTGGTATTGGCAGGATCCTCTCCTTCCTCTGTGGCAATGCTAAGGCCAAGTGGTAAGGAGCGAGCAGGTGGGTGGTAAGGAGCAAGCGAGGGGTCCCAGATTATGGGAGTGTACAGGCCAAAATGAGTGCCCCCTACCCGCATGAATTTTGTGCATCGGGCCTCTAGTAATATTATAAATAGAAAAAATATAGCTCTCCCTCTTAACAGCTGATTTTGACATTTATTTCAGTTAAGAATTAGTCATTCTTATTTCTTTCAGAAAGTGTAATTGGCCACTTGTGCTTTTTCAACTGGTATGACTGAAACTCTAACTGTAGTACTTTATTTGAATTAAGGCCTATGTGCATTTTTCTTTTACTGAATGAAATTAGAATTTATTGCACTAGATGCAAATGAGTTCTATAGCAAAAATAAAAATCTTACATCCTCGATAGTCATTTGTGAAGAGAAGAGACATCCTGATGCAGCTCTTCTGCAGTATTTTTTGGCTTTCAACTGATTTGGCTAATAATTCCTTCCTACTTCTTGCATTAAGACTGCATTTCTCAGAGCACTTTGCTGTGGCTATCTACTGCTTAGGGACTAGAAGTACTTAACTCCCATGTCCACACATATAACTCTTCTAGAATTTTATAGCCAGAAAAACGGATTCTAATCCTACAGCTAGACACTAACTTAATTCTCATTTCCCTTCTGCAATATATCTCAGTATCTCTATCTCTGTCTCTGTCTCTATCTCTATTTCTATCTCTGACTCTGTCTCTATCTATCTCTGACTCTATCTGTATTTATAGATAAATATAACATATTTATATCCATTTGTATATATTCCTTTTCTGAACTTGGAGAGAAAATTATTTCTTTTGCTACTTGTCATGGATGAAGGCAATTCCCCAACTTGTCTCAAGCTGTTGAAAGCTACTCTAGCCTGGCTCAGCGGTTCAGCATCAACCTATGAACCAGGAGGTCACATTTGGATTCTTAGTCAGGGCACATGCCTGGGTTGTGGGATCAATCCCCAAAAAGGGGCTTGCAGGAGGCAGCCAACCAGTGATTCTTTCTCATCATTGATGTTTCTATTTGTCTTTCCCTCTTCCCTCCTCTCTCTGAATTCAATAAAAAATATTTTAAACAAATTAAAAATAAAGCTACTCTAATTGGTCAGAAATCTGAGGTTCACTAGCTACATTTTTTTTTTAGCCTTAAGATTCAAAATTATTTCTCTGAGATTCAATAGAGAAGAAAACTAGCCATTTCCTCTGCTAGATGAACAGCAGTGTTCACCGAGTGTTATAGAGTTATGTTGTTAGGTTTTTATGGCCATTTTCATGGGAAGTGATAAAATTATTTAACAGTTAAATTTTTGAGCTGGAGGGACATTAGATATGTCAGTCATAGTTCACTTCGCACATAGTGAATGCGAGTCCCATGGACATGATATAAAATGCTGAAGATTAATGGTTTAGTTAGAGGAGACCCAAAAGTATAGAACTTTCAGGATAAAGCAGTAAAGAAAATTTTTAGAATATTTTATGTATCTTTTTGCTTTCCATGTTTCAGCTCAAATGACCAACTGCTGGTTCGGAGTAAGCTTGGCCCTGCTGGACGGTATTTCTGCTGTGAGGCTGCCACAGGTTGGAGCAGCCGTTGGTCTTTACAAAGAAATTTCATTTTAAAAAAATTGACTTTTCATAATCTTGATAGTTAAAAATATTTCCGAGAATAAAATGTCCAGGCAGTTACACACACACTGGGTTATACAGGGGTTTTACTTATGTAGGGCCTTCTGAGAGCGGTCAGTAACTAGAAGACAGAAGATTCCGCAGAGCTGAGTTGAATGGGGCCTTTGCATTTTTGTGACCATGTTTGCAAAGCCAGTATGACTAGGAGGTTCCTTTCTCACATAACCTGCCTTTACAGTGTCCCTACATCTTCAGTGAATTATGTGGAACTATTTCATAATTGTTCCAAGTGGTCAAATATCTGCAATGTCAAATAATTCCATGTAGTTACATAGCAGGAAATGTCTGGGGTCATAAGTAAAAAAATCGAATCTTAAATAGATGATACTTAGTAGTCTTTCCAAGTGATGTAGGAAATGATTAAGCACCTTGTATATGGGAAGAAGGGCAAATAAAGCAAAATGGATGAGGTTATACCAACCATTAACTTAAGTGCTTACTGGGCTGACCCTTTTGTGGTATGCAGAGCTTCTTTTTCCATCATACAATAAATTTTAAAAAGTCACCTTATATACAGTAGGGAGAGTAGAGAGATAAAACCATGTGTTTCACAGATTCAAATAGTAACCATGTGTTTCACAGGCTCAGGTAGTAAGTTTACTGTTGATAAATTAAATATGGACCATCTCTAAAGATCTCCCTCAGCTAAAGTCACATACAGTACATATCCTGAAATGAAGTACACATAATTGGGTACTTCATTTCTCTTACATATAAATTGATAACTATGCATAGATATGTATCAACTTTCTTACATTACCGAACAAAATCATTCATGGAACAAAGGTGTGCAGAACAGCTACCAGGAGTTGGGTACTGGGATATAGGATTCTATCGGACTAAATTGGCTTCTGACCTATCTCTCAACCCAAAACAATAAAGGAAAATAAGAAATCTAAGGAGTCATTTAATTCAATGACTTGAATCATGTAATTCAAGTCAGTGAACTTAATAACAGGGATACATATTTGTTCCAATGTTAGCATTTTAATGTGTTGCTTTTTGTCTGTCTTACCTGAAGGATCTTATCGCCTGGCTGCAGCAGATTGGATGCTGGTCCATCAGGCTGAACCCTAGTAACAAAGATACCCTATAAGTCAGAAGTAACAGAGGTTAGGATTCTATGATCAAGAACTAGGTCTACTAACAAAACTTCTCATTCATATAAAATACAGTGAAAAAATATTAAAAACAGTTTATACATGTAAACTTCAAAGGTTATTACAGTATTTTAAGTAAGGCGCCACTCTCCAAGTAAACTTTAGGAAAAACAACATCTTTACTTGCACAAAAGACATTCATTTTGTTTTTAAAGTGTACTTCTGAGTTACAAATTAATTTCATTGCACATTCTTAATTTCTTTCTCAAATCATTTGAAATATGGTACTAACCATATTTTGTACAGCTTCTAAAATTGTCTTGAGTTATTCTGCATTAAAAATGTCTCCCATTTGATATATTGTGAATTCAATGTGTATTTCAAAAACCTTACTACAATTACATGTAAGTACTGGCTTATTTTAATTAATGTTACTGTTACTTTGTATGTTACTGAGATTAAATATAAATGCATATGAACAAATTAAACATAAGAAAACTTCAACATGCATATAAAATATAAAGTGTATGTTTACAGTTACAAAACTTCTATATCGATTAATTTAGTTTATAAAAAAGTCAAATTAACGTTAAAAAAATCTTTATTGCTGAAAGTATTACATATGTCTCCCCTTTTACCCCTTCTAGCCTGCCCCCATTCCCCACCTCAGGCATTCACCACACTATTGTTTTTGTCCATGGGTTATCAAATTAAATTTTTTGATCATATATATAAAACAAAAAACATTCACATGCTAGGACTTGACTGATTGCTAGTGTTATAAAGATGTACAGAATATATTTTGCCTTCAGTGAGCTCACAATATAGTGGAGGAAAAGTCAAGAAAACTACCCATTACAAAACAGTACAAGTGTTGTGACAGAAATACAATAAATATCAAAGAAGTTACACCTAACTCATCCTTAGTGTGTTGGGGCTTCTGAAAAGAGGACCTACCTGGCAGCTGAATCATGGAGGACAAAGGAAATGCATCCACAAGGATAAGGGGAGGAAGGGTATTCTGGTTGCAGGGATACCACGAAGGATAAAGTGCCTGTTACATTTGAGAAACTGCAAATAGTTCTATCATGACTGGCATGGTGGAAGGGTACCAGTGCATGGGGTTGGGAGCTGGGAGAGAATCAAGCTTCAAAGCACCTGGGGGCCAGGTGAAGATGGACCTTTAATAGACATGCTTATTAGTGTGGGGAGCTACTGAAGTATTTTAAGCATGATAGTGACAAGATCTGAAGAATGAAATGATGAATGGATAAACAAAAGACATACATCAAGCATGTCAAACTTGCGAACCACGGCGAATATTTTTGCGGCCCCAGCCAATATAACGGTATGTAAGAAACATTTTAATAAACATTTCATAACTTAATTTTTACAATATCCTGTTATACATAATTATTAATCATGAACTACAACTTCGCTAATGACTGATTACTATAATCGTGTTGCATTCATTTGCCTTACATGTTTTATGTGCAGGCGCATTGTTTCTCTCCACTAATACTGGCAGTGAATATTTTAGCAGTCAATTGCCACATTGTTAGTCTTGGACTGACTTGTTTGTCGTGTGCAACTGGAAATATTTCACTTTCAAAGAATAAGAAAAATAGGTTTATTTTCATTATGCTTATTAATTTGTGCAGTTATTCAGTGTCTGGTAAATTAATATTCAAGAAAAATATTAATTTTTATTAAAAAGTTCTTTTATTTTATGCTAAAAGTTACTCATTTATTTCAGCCTCTTGTATCTACCATGTCTCTATTGAAACAAACCTACATTTCTATGAAAATGGAAGCTTTTTTTTTTTGTGGCCCACATAAACTTAAACCATGTTTATTTGACCCATGTTAGCCTTTGAGTTTGACATGCTTACTATACACCTATTCAGTGGAATATTACTTGTCAGTAGAAAGGAAGGAAGTTCTGGCAATATGGATAAACCTCAGAAACATGCTAAGTGAGAGAAGCTGGTCACTAAAGGCCATGTATTATGATTCCACTTACATGAAATGTTAAGAATAGGCAAATGCATAGAAAAGGAAAGCAGATTTGAGTTTTCCAAGGGCTGGGGAGCAGGGGACTTGGGAGTGACAAGGTGTACAAAGTTTTTGTTGAGTAATAAAAATGTTCTGAAATCAGATAGTGGTAATGGTTGTCCAATTCTTTGAATATGCAAAAACCATTTAATTGTATACTTCAAAAGAATGAATTTTATAGCATGTCAATTAGACCTCAATATAAGTGTTGTTTTTAAAATTTTTTAAGAACTATTAATCAAATAGAAAAGAATATTTTTATTTTTTTATTTTTTATTTTTTTAATATATTTTATTGATTTTACACAGAGAGGAATTGAGAGGGATAGAGAGTTAGAAACATCAATGAGAGAGAAATATAGACCAGCTGCCTCTTGCACACCCCCTACTGGGGATGTGCCCGCAACCAAGGTACATGCCCTTGACCGGAATCCAACCTGGGACCCTTCAGTCCGCAGGCCGACGCTCTATCCACTGAGCCAAACCGGTCTCGGCAGAAAAGAATATTTTAATATCCTTGCCTATTATTTAGGAAATCATCTCATTTGCTGATCCATAAACATAATGACTCTCACTTAAACTCATTGCAGTTGAGTATGTGTGTATGTAAATGACTTAACAAACGTCTACATGTGTCTTCATTTCGGATTTCAGATCTTTAGGAAATGTACTCATTTAAGGCTTTCAAATTATTTTTATCTTTCTGATTTTAATCTCTTTCCTTTCATATCTCTATATATCAATATAAAAGCCTAAATGACCATTACAATGGAATAACCTGTCGTTATGACATGCACTGACACCAGGGGGCAGTCGCTCAATGCAGGAGCTGCCCCCCAGCCCACAGGACCCAATCGCTGATGCAGCCTGCTAGCCAACCTCCTGGTCCCTCCTCCTGGCCAGCGGGCTCCAATCACCTGATTGGGGCTGGGCCCCCAGGCTGGGATGGGGAACTAGGGGTAGGTGGTGGTAGATGTGGGTATTGAAGGAAGAAGGAGGGAGGGAAAAGGGTAACCTGATCAGCCCTGATCGCTGGCCAGGCCTAGGGGCCCTACCCATGCATGTATTTCATGCACCAGGCCTCTAGTTTGAGATGAATCTACAGATTGGCATCAAAACGCCTAAGAAACTACATAACTTTAAACCTATTAATTCAACTTCTAGAACTTATCTTGAGCAAATAACTGGACAGATATGCAACATACATTAATAATATGTTCATCATAGTAGTATTTGTAACAATAAAGTTGCAAACTACACCTAAATGTCTAGTAACTGGGGACTGATGAAATAAGTGAGGATAAATCCATATAATAGAATAATATGTGGTCATAAAAAATGAAGTCCTAGCTGGCACGAACAGAAGTACACTAGAGCTCAGTGGAATAAGCAGTGTAAATCATGTGGGGGATGATATTATAGGGTGGGGCAAAAGAAGTTTACAGTTGTGAGTATATGAAAGTTTATTCTTTGTTGTTTTCCATACAAACAACTGTCAACCTATCTTTACCTCACCCTGTATGTTGGCTGAAATATATTTACATGTATTTTTGCATGGGAAAATATCTGCAAAGGTGGATGCTTAAACATTAGTAGTGGCCGTTGTGGGAGACATCTTTGGGGGTGGGGATTTTTTTCTGCCTGCCACATATAACAAGAAGCAGATAAGAGCATAATTCTGCAGTCAGACTGTCTATGTTCATCATTTATAAATAGGTGACCTTTGGAAAGTTAATTAACTTTTGTCTACCCCCATCAGTAAAATGGGTATAATAATGGAAGGTCTCACTCATTAGATTGAATATATACAAAATACTTAGAACAGTGCCTGGCACTTAAGGTAGGGTCAATAAATATTATTATAATATTGGGAGTCTGGAGTTTGAACTATAATCCAAGGTCTTTTATCCAGCAAAGCCCACATTAAGAGTGTATGAGTCTCCAGCTACATCATGTTTATTGCCAGGAAATTTCTCTTTGCTCTCAAGCTGGAGAACATGGAAAGCCCAACGTTTGTGATTGTCCCCTTGCACTAACAACAGAGAAGAGGATTTGCGTCTCTTATCTAGGAAAGAGGGTGTGAAGAGGGCGATAAGTTCCTCCTCTCCTAGCTTATCTGTGATTTTCTAGTGGCCACTCTCAGGGTCAGTGACTCCAAACTAGAGGGCTTTCTGCAGGTTCCTGGTATTTGTCAGGGCTACCTTTTTTGGTAGCCAAGTCAGGAGCATCAGCTCTTTTCTTTTCTTTTTTTAAAAAATATATTTTTATTGATTTCAGAGAGGAAGGAAAAGGAATAGAGAGATTGAAACATCAGTGATGAGAGAGAATCATTGATCGGCTTCCTCCTGCTGCCCCCTATTGGCAACTGAGCCTGCAACCAGGGCATGTGCTCTGACCTGGAATTGAATCCACCACATAAAAAAAAAAATTCATATATATATATATATATATATATATATATATATATATATATGCTTTTATTGGTTTTTAGAGAGAGAAGAAGGGAGAGGGAGAAAGAGAGAGAAACACTGATGAGTGAGAAACATCAACATCGACCACCTGCCTCCTGAAGGATCCTGAGGATCCAGCCTGCAACAGGGCATGTGCCCTACTGAGGACATTTTGGTGCATGGGATGGTGCTCAGCACACTGAGCCACACTGGCCAGCGCAGGAGCATCTGCTCTTTTTAGTAATGGCTTCTAGAATCTAATGAATGGCTTAGACTCTCAGGCTGTTGTTCCTTGTGATTAAGCCCTGTAGGGCAGTGGTCAGCAAACTCATTAGTCAACAGAGCCAAATATCAACAGTACAACGACTGAAATTTCTTTTGAGAGCCATTTTTTTTTTTTTTAACTTATACTTCTTCTAACGCCAGTTCTTCAAAATAGTCTCGCCCAGACCGTGGTATTTTGTGGAAGAGCCACACTCAAGGGGC